ATAGAACTATAGGGTGAATGGATATCCTCTCAAAGCTGTTACCATCTCGAGGACTACTGAGGGTCTGTATAAAAGGGCTGTGTATCGTAACTGGCGACGGCTTCAGAGTCAAGTTACACTCGTGAATTATGCACCAACACCTTGGAAACCCAAGTCTCTATAAGACTGGATCGTGCCTCCGGATACTGGCGGCCAGATCGCATTGTCAATCAATCCAACGGATAGCCGTCCATTTTGGAAGGGAATTGAGCTCGATGGCCACACTGAGGGGCAGCCACCATACCCGACTGTGGCGTACGGACCCGCCCGGGGGGTCGTTCACCCGTGGCCGCAGCGGGAGCTCTTCTGATTGGCTGAGTGCCTCCAATTTTTTGACCAGACGAAATAGTTCGAGCTTTCAGAGAGGACCTCACGATTCTTGCCAGCAGCGTCGTTGATCTCAATTGCGATGGCAAACCCAACTGCGCTGCGGCCAGCGATCGGTCGCATGTTGCGGCTGCAAGAGACTCGACAATGGCTGCCCGCGAACCCGACATCCGTCTCTGCCACCCGCCTACGAATCGCAACATCGGCCTTCTCGACCTCAGCCGCCCACTCGAAGCGCAAGACCCGCGACAGCAACCGCCTGAGAGGAGTCTCGAGCATGAGGAAGACTGGTCCCCGTGAGCCGCTGTCCGTCTCGTGGGAGGAAATCCCCCAGCCGGCAGACTACAAACCCAAGGTCTCAGTGGACCCGAAACACGGGCTTTGGGATTTCTTCTACGGCAAGAAGCTGCTACAAACGCCCAAGGAAACCCAAGCCCACGGCCGCGCATGGTCTGTTCGGGATCTGCGTAAAAAGAGCTGGGATGACCTGCACTCGCTGTGGTACGTCTGCCTGAAGGAGCGAAACCGCCTCGCGACGGCGAGAAAGGAGCGCGCCAGGCGCATGGTTGGATTTGGAGAGTACGAGGGCGACGAGAGAGATGACGTGGTTCGTATACTCCCAGCGCTTTGTGGGTTCAATAGTCACTGAACAAAAGTTTCACAGGTCCGCAGCACGATGAGAGCGATCAAGCACGTGTTGACGGAACGCTACTACGTTTGGGAAGATGCACGCAAGCTTGCGGCCGAAGACCCCGAGATCAACCTCTGGGCCGAGGAGGGCGAGCCGGCCTACAGCGGCTACGTTGCCCCCGCAATCCCCGAGCTGGAGCTGGAGCCGGAGCTGGAGCCGGAAGTTGTTGCGGAGGATCAGGCAGTAGAGGAGACTTCAGCCGAGCAGGGTGCGGTTGCAGCTGATGGTGCTCCAGTCGAGGGCAAGACGGACCCGGCGGCCGAGGTTGATTCAGAAGCCACGCCGGTAACTTCTGAGAAGGCCGAGAAGAAGAAGGCCGAGGAGGCGAAGAAGGCTGGGAAGAAGCAGCCTGAGGAGGCAAAGAAGGCTGCGGCGAAGCCCGTGGACCTGCCGGTTCCCAAGCTTTGAAAGCCAAACCGATTATAATCATTACCCTTGCCGGCGTGGGGGCCGAGGACATGAAGCTATGTGAAAGTGTATCCAGACATGTATAGAATCTTGTACGATACGTATTTTGTGCACCAGGCAGACGGTCGTGTCGCCGCCAAAAAGAGAGGAGAATTCCCCTATTACATGTGGTTGGTTCTTGTCTGATGAGATGGCGTCGGTCGGCGGGTCACGAGAGGTTGGCCGGGCTGCTGAGCTGAGCTTGCAAGTCCAACAAGCCGTTGGGGATTGCATAAGGAGAGCAGACGATGAATGCTATGCGCAGTACGGACAACTACTCAGATGAGACTACTCGCATAATGTTACAGAAGTGGTACGGGGGAGGGCGGGACGAGACCTGGGCCCTTGTACCCAGACAGGGCCAGCCACACCGCCGAGTACATGTTTCGCCGGGGAAACAGACGGTAAGTGGTGCTGTGCTAATGAATCTGTAAGGTACCTTGCTGCTCGAGGACGTGGAATCATTAGCCTCAGGCCCAGCAACAAAGCAGCCGGGTACCTAGGTCGCTAGTTGGCTACTATCGCAGCATTAGCGGTGAGCCACAGAGCGGAGAGATGAGAGCGGACCTGAGGGGAGGTACCTATCCATTAACGGGCAGCGCGCTGGAGCCAGACAGGCCCCAAAGCAAGCGCAAGCACTGGCCCAGTGACACACTTGACACTGAACCCCTCCAAAAGCAACAGGTCCCGTCCGTCTGCACCAGGTCCAGGTCCAGGTCCAGGTCCAGGTGGCACCGCGGGCTCTTCATGTCCCTCGCCCCCACCCAATCCTTCCTTTTGCTGCATTTTCGGTCCCACGTCTCCTACAACACCGCAACTACTTCTCCAGACGTGAACATCCAGTCTTCCCTCGACCTTTCTTTTCCCTCCTTTATTGACAACACCCGACTAATCTACCTCCCCGCCTCCCCCCTTCAAGATTCGCGCAAACATGGATGAGATTGCAAAGGAATACGATGTCATCGTGCTGGGCACTGGTAAGTGACGTTACGCCCTCCTGTGCCCCGCATCGTCGCTCTGGCGTGTGGGGTCCCCCCTTCCCGTGCCATCTGTTCTGCTTCGCCTTTGCCCGAGAGGAGCTTCCTTGCTGACGAGCTCTGCTCTCTTTTCCTCCGGATCACAGGCCTGACTGAGTGCATTCTCTCTGGTGTTCTCAGTGTCAAGGGCAAGAAGGTCCTCCACATTGACCGTAATGACCACTACGGCGGGTAAGTTGGCTCCCCCTTCTGCCATGACCGCCATTTCCCCCTCTGAGCATGCGCTGACCATGAACAGTGAGGCAGCTTCCGTGAACCTCGAGACGGTAAATCCCCTCGACTCTTTACCTGCTTACCCCATGAGTTCTGACCCGACGCCCACCTGTAGCTCTTCAAGAAGTATGGCAACTACAACAAGGGCGAGGAGCCCTGGACCAAGTACGGCCGCCTGAATGACTGGAACATCGACCTGGTTCCCAAGTTCCTCATGTCCTCCGGCGAGCTCACCAACATCCTCGTATCGACCGACGTCACACGATACCTCGAGTTCAAGCAGGTCGCCGGCAGCTACGTCCAGCAGGGCCAGGGTGCCAAGGCCCAAGTTGCCAAGGTTCCGTCCGATGCCGGCGAGGCTCTGCGATCGCCCTTGATGGGCATCTTCGAGAAGCGCCGCATGAAGAGCTTCATCGAGTGGATTGGCACCTTTGACCGCAAGGACACCGCTACTCACAAGGGTAAGACGCCGACTGAGAGCAAGGCACCTAGATAAAGCTCGGGCTGACACGTGAAAGGCCTCGACATCAACAACTGCGCCATGAAGGAGGTTTACGACAAGTTCGGACTCGAGACTGGCACTCGCGACTTCATCGGCCACGCCATGGCTTTGTTCACCACCGACGAGTACCTCACCAAGCCCGGTGGCGCCCCGGAGGCTATTGAGCGCATCCGCCTGTACGGCACCTCCGTTGCCCGCTACGGCAAGTCTCCTTACATCTACCCTCTGTACGGTCTTGGCGAGCTTCCTCAGGGATTTGCTCGTCTGTCTGCCATCTATGGCGGTACCTACATGCTCAACACCAACGTCGACGAGGTCACCTACGAGGGCGGCAAGGCCGTCGGCATCAAGGCCACCATGACCGGTGTCGAGGAGATGAAGTTCGAGACCAAGGCCAAGATGATTCTCGGTGACCCCAGCTACTTCCCCGGCAAGGTCAAGCCCATTGGCCAGGTCCTGCGTGCCATTTGCGTGCTCAAGCACCCCCTCAGCCACACCAACGACAGCGACTCTTGCCAGCTCATTATCCCCCAGTCTCAGATTGGCCGGAAGAACGGTACGTATTTGCTTGAGGCCGGAGGAAACGGGATAGTTGGCTGACCCGTGGTAGATATTTACATCGCTTGCGTGTCTTCCGCCCACAACGTCTGCCCCAAGGGCTACTGGATTGCCATCGTCTCAACCATTGCCGAGACCGGCGCCAACCACCACCTCGAGCTCCAGCCCGGCTTGGACCGTCTTGGACAGATCGAGGAGCAGTTCATGGTGAGTGGATGAATGCTCGGCAGCACCAGTGTAATGAAGAAACTGACACCAACTAGGGTGCTCCTATCCCCATCTACGAGCCCACCGACGACGGCCGTGCCGACAACGTCTTCGTCTCCAAGAGCTACGACGCCAGCAGTCACTTTGAGAGCACGACCGACGACGTCAAGGACATCTACCGCCGCGCCACCGGCGAGGAGCTCGTTGTTGAGGGTCTTAGAGAGGGTCTGCAGGTTGCGGATGAGCAGTAAGGCCGACGGCTGCGTACGCGGTGGGGTTTGAACGTGGAGGAAACACACAGTCTGAGAGGCAATGAGCCCTCGCACATCATAACAGACGACGATAAGGAGTAGATATATATATATATCTTGGACGTAAACATCGGGGAGGGTGGTGCACTTCAAAGTTATTCAAGCCATATGCAAAACAGTAAATACTTGTCCCAACAGCGTAACATGAGTGATTTCATCAGGTCAGGGTACGTCGATGATGGTCATGTGGCTTGAGACTGAGTGAGACAGGCAAGGAGAGAGGAATAATGAGAGACACTAGACAACAACGGCACGGCCTTCTACAACACAGGCAACTTGTCACATTTTTTCTCATATCGACTCAATTTTATGTGAATTCTCTCTTCCAGGGTATTCAGCGGCCCCGTAAATCATGGTCTGCTGGGCTTTTGGAGCCGTCACAGGCATAGATACATGAAGCAGAACGACGCCACCTTCCTTTTCTTGAATGTTCATCCCTCAAGGAGAAAAGGCGACCCCGCGAACTGCTTCCCCCCCACGCTCGCCTCCTGCGTTCTCTGGCTTCCTACATGTCGAAATAAATCAAACCAAACGCCCCCAAGGCCAAGAAAAGCGAAAACAAGCACAGCATATTTACTTTTGTTCTTCCCATAAAGGAGCGCAAACGATGCGATGATGCCGCCACGGAAACCTTTTTGTCACTAACCACATTACCGGTCCACCTTTTCTTAACGTCTCTGCGTCTTGCCCATGCCACGCTTGCCGGCGACCTGATGAACGAGTTAGCGAATATGTCTAAAGAATTTGGGTAACTGATAAAACTCACCAAGTGCCTCTGGAGGGAAACCGTCGTGTGACGATCGGCCTCACCCTGTCTGGCGTTCCTGTTCATCTTCTTCTGGCTGAGCTTAGCCAGACGCTCAGCCTTGGTACGAGCACCATCATCCGTGACACCGTCGTTGCGCCTGTCGGTGGCGGCCTGGCTGCGTGCCCTGCTCTGGGAGCGGGAGCGGAGGCGCTCTCTGGGGGTCGCGTCGACGTCCATGGCGTCCGCGTCCTCGGTGCCGGCGCGGGATCTGCCCATGGAGCGGCCGCGGGGGCGGGACTGAGCGCGGGCGCGGTTGACAATGTCGGTGGTGTCGACACCGAGCTGGTCGAGGGCGTCGTCCATCTGGGAAAGGGGCACCTTCATGGACTTGCGGGGGATGATGGCCTGGTTCTTGAGGCGCTTCTTCATCTTGGCCTCGTTGCGGATGAGGGCCTGCTTCTCGCGGATCAGCTCCGCCTTGTTGAGGATGTCGGCCTCCTCCTCGTCGTCGAGGTCCTCGTCCGACTCGTAGTAGCCCTCCTTCTCGAGACGCTCCTCCTCCTCCTCGAGAGCCTGCAGCTTGGCGTCGATGTCGGGGTCGACGAAGTCGTAGACGTTCTGGCCGTTGAAAACCTCGGGGATCTTGTCGTACTTCCACTCGGGGTTCTTGAGGAGCCAGTCGGCGCGCATGTCGACGCTAAAGACGCCGGCACCGCCGTTCTCGACCTCGATGTCCTTGGCGAGCTTGCGGCGCTCCGGGTCCTCCTTGTCGTACTTCTTGAGCCCCTTGACGGCGTCGGGGATGAAGGTCTCACGGGTCTGGCCGTTCATGGGCTGGGCGACGTGGATACGGGCCATGACGTCGGCGAGACGGCCACCGATGGCGCCGCTGGAGTTGGTGCCGGCATTGAGCTTCTGGGAGACGCGCTCGGCGATAAGGCGCTCGCAGACGGTGTTCTTGACCTGCTGGACACCCTCCTGGGTGTTGCAGGACAGCTGGAGCATCTCGACCTCGCCGGACTTGAGGAGACCCTGGAGCTTCTCCTGGGTCTCGGCGTCGAGGTCCTCGGGCTTGACAACGTCGATCTTGTTGACGACGATGAAAACGATCTTGTTCTGGAAGAGCGGCTTGATGCTCTGGAACAGGTTGATCTGGGCCTGGATGGAGTAGCCGCACTGCTCACTGAGATCCATGAAGTAGAGAATGGCGGATCGCAAATGGGCAATCGCGGTGACGGACTGCATCTCGATGGTGTTCCTAGGCTCATTAGCATCCCGTTTGCGCGACGTGTGTAAGGTAAGGCGCTTACATCTCCTCGAGAGGGTGGTCCAGGATACCGGGGGTATCGATGCACTGGAATCGGAGGTACTTGTAGTCAAAGTGACCGCAGAAGAGGGACTTGGTGGTAAAGGCATACGGCTGGCTACACACGTGGTCTGTCAGTCATGTAGTTGAGGATCTCGAGGTCGGCGCAACGTACACGTCAACATCGGCTCTGGAGACGGAGCGCAGGAAAGAAGACTTTCCGACGTTGGGGAATCCAGTGATGAGAAGGGTTCTGGTGTTGGGGTCGATCGAGGGGAGACGGCCAAGATCTGCGCAGTGTCAGTATTCCTAGGCGCGCTTCTGGTTCTCACTATCCGCCACTCACGCTGTCGGACCTGGTCGAGGTACACCAGGGGATCTTTGAGGCGCTTGATCAGGGTGGCCATGCGACCAAGGGCGGCGCGCTTCAGCTGCTTGCACTGGAACAGCGACTGGCCGTACTTGAGGAGACGGACATCTGCAAAACACCAATCAGCATTTCCGTCCCGCCACACGAACAAAACACACGGGTTTCCAACGCACAATCTCTGGAGATGGTCTCGATAAGGTGCTTCGCCGTCGAGAGCTGGCCGAGGGCAATCTTGAAGTGGTCGGCATCGTAGAGGGTGTTGATCAGGTCCTTGTGGAAGGGGTGGATGTCGTTCAAGCGGGGGAACGACTCGATGATCTGGCCGAGCTTCTCGCTGACGGTCTCCTGGGTGAACTTGACCTTGCGGGTGTAGAAGCCACGGATTCTGGAGATCTTGAAGCCGGATCGGATCTGGGTCGGCAGCCGGCGCTGCGTCCTGGAGAGGACGATGTCCAGGAACTCTTGCGAGTTGGGGACGGGAGGGAGGTCCTTCCACCTGGAGGGCGAAACATGATTAGCACACTGCCTTTACTCAATCGTACACGCAACAGAGAGTCCATACTGAGTCTTCATGTTGGGCGGCTGGGGTCTGCACGGGAAAATGAAGCAGTCCTCAGAGTTGCGATCGGTCAAAAATTGCCCGTCCGTGAACTGGATGAAGCACTGGGCGGTCGGGCGGTGTCGAGAGGCTTGAATTTTTTTTTTCCTGGACGCACTGCGGAGACTCGCTTACCTTATCTTATCAGACCCACACCCGGTGGCGACGCATGTCACCTCCCTCTTGGCAGCGGTTCTCGCGCTTCGACGGCGTTTAATGTCGGTGGTGTGAATTCCGCTGAGCGTGAGGGCGAAAGTTTGGTTTGAGACGCACTAATCACTAAGTTTTCCTCGTAAACCATCATGGCGGAGCTATCCTCTCGCGTGTTGTAGATAATGCTGAACATGAGGCTATCCAACTCCCGGGTGGTAGACCCTGCAGAGTGCAGACCCAAGGGTACCTCCGCCTAGAACTTAATCGCAAAAATTTCCAGCTGGTAGTGGGGCACATTCCGCGGGGCAGTCCTTCAATGGAGGGGCAACCCGAGAATCTTCAATCTTGAGAATTCCATCCTCCAGCACACGACAAGCCAGACTGGTTGATCACCCCCCTCTGATACCCTCCTACCGACTCCCTCAAAACAAAACCGGAAAAATCATCACCAAAATGGCCTCTCAGCTCCCCCCCTACAAGCAGGACTTCCTCAAGGCCGCCATCTCGGGCGGCGTCCTTAAGTTCGGCTCCTTCGAGCTCAAGTCGAAGCGCATCTCGCCCTACTTCTTCAACGCCGGCGACTTTTACCGCGCCGACCTCCTCCGCGCCATTTCCGTGGCCTACGCCCACACAGTCATCGACGCCCGCAAGACCGCCGGCCTCGAGTTCGACATCGTCTTCGGCCCCGCCTACAAGGGCATCCCCCTCGCGACCTCCACCACCGACAAGCTCGCCGAGCTCGACCCCGAGCACTACGCGCAGACCTGCTACTCCTTTGACCGCAAGGAGGCCAAGGACCACGGCGAGGGCGGCAACATTGTCGGCGCGCCCCTCAAGGGCAAGAAGGTCCTGATCGTCGACGACGTCATCACCGCCGGCACCGCCAAGCGCGAGGCCATTGCCAAGATCCGCAAGGAGGGCGGCGAGGTCGTCGGCATCGTTGTCGCGCTCGACCGCATGGAGAAGCTGCCCGCCGCCGACGGCGACGACAGCAAGCCCGGCCCCAGCGCCATGGGCGAGATCAAGAAGGAGTATGGCATCCCCATCTTCGCCATCCTCACCCTCGACGACATCATTGAGGGTGCCAAGAGCTTCGCGTCCGCCGAGGACATTAAGCGTACGGAGGAGTACCGCGCCAAGTACAAGGCGACCGACTAAGCGGTTATTGGTTTTCTGGGTCAGAGGATGAGCAGCTGGAGTTCTCAGGTCACGGCTGTCGGCGTAGATGGGCACGCTCGATAGGAGCTTCCCTTGGGTCAGGCGCAAAAGATGAAGAACAAAAAAAGTGATTTCGAAGCGGTCCGTAGACTTGAGCCCCCTCGCATGAAATAGAAAGCGATGCAGGATAAAATGGGTTCAATTCTCTTGCTCTCCCTTTTGAGGCAAGTTAGTCTATGTCATATCCTCGTACCGTAGCTGCATGCTGTCTATAGGAGTTTGCCGCCCTCCAGATATCGTAACGCAGTGGGCAAAAGAAAAAAAAAAAGCCAGTAATGCAAACCCGTCGTTTACTTGAGCGACCAGGGTATGTGTGTCCTTCCTAATCATGTACCGAAAGGGGGGAAGTATGCTGTTACACGAAAAGTCACCCAAGGAAGGTGGACTTTTTCGTATGACCAAACCATGGAATTCTTCACTTGGCCTCGTGGGCACGAGTCTCGCCGGCGACGGCCTTGAGAGCCTCGGTGCTCTTCTTGGGAGGGCCGGCGAGATCAATCACCTGAGACGGCGTCAGTGTCGTTTTGCAGCCGCGGAAATCAACGGCACTTACCATGTCGTTCCATCCACCTCCAGCAAAGGACGCCCTGCTCTCGCCAACATGGCGGAATCCGAATCGCTTGTAATAGCTGACAAGGTACTGCTACATGTCAGCGCGAACATGGCACGGCAGCCAGGGTCAACTTACGTCCTGGCATATGAGGGCCACACGGTCAGCAACGCCTGAGTTGTTGATCTGCTGGAGATAGGACTTCATCATGAGCTTGCCCAGGCCGCAACCCTGGAGCTTGGGCGCGACGGCGAACGAGTGGAGACAGACGGTGCGACCCATGACTTGATGGCCGAGACCCGACGACTTGGACGACTCCTGGTCGCGCCAGTTGACGGGGTAGCTCATGTCGGCATCTGTGACGACGGGTCCGTTGCCGAGGGTCGAGACGACGTGGGCGCAAAGCGCGAGAACGGCGCCGTTGGCGCGGCCCGTCTCGACTGGATTGGCCACTGGCAGAGTCTCCAGGGCAAAGTCCTTGTCCTTGGCTTCGCTGGGGACGATGCTGCAGAAAATGCCGGAGCAGATGTCGGAGCAGGTCGAAAGACGGTACTCGAACTGCAGGGAAGTCAGCATGAACCAAATCTGGCGGAGGAGACCATGTTCAACACCGCTGGCCACACCAACGAGCAACGCAGCAAGGCAAATTATCTGCAAAGCGCGGAGCAAGCAGCGATGATCGCCATCCACCCAGGACGCGCGAGAGAAAGCAGCGCGATCGGAGAAATACCGTGTTGACCCAGAGGAAAAGAAAAAGAAAAAAAAGTTGACTCACCTTCTCTCTGGTAGCGCGATGGTCCGGGTTGGGGAAAGCAGCGTTCTCGAGGACGACACACGACTCGACACTCGAACTGGTCAAGGGCTGGACGAGGGGGCTGAAATGGACGGGGAAAATCTCCTGGACACGGAGAGAGTCCGTCTGAGGGCGCTTCTGCTTCTGCTCAGAGCGGATGCGTTGGGCCTCAACGTAGCTCTCGTCGCCATCGTCCGAGTCGTCGATGGCGCAGTCAGAGGCCGCGGGGGGCTGGCTGACAGGAGGGTTCTTCTCGGGCATGGTGGCTGATGCGGGCTGATGCGCGATGATGAATGAAGATGGATGGGGTAAGGATGAGTAGGATCCGAGAGTATGGGATATGGAGAATGGGAGGAGGGGTGTTGGAAGTTGGGAGGTTGTTGGTTACACAACAGAGAGAGAGAGAGAGAGATTGGAGCTTTTCTGGGAAATATTTCCTGGGTTGCAAACACCAGAAACAATTGGCAACAAGGCGGGAGCACGCCGAGAACAGAGAGGCCCAAGAAGGCAAGTGCTATACTCAAACGGAGAGCACTGGCCGGCCAGGGCGGGTCGGACACGGAGGGCACACAAGAGGCTGCCGGCCGTGGGATGGGATGACGGAGCCTAACACAGAGAGTGCCGGCCGGGTGCCGATGAGGTGAGCCGATCAAGGCCTGGATTCCGGGGGGACAGGCGCCGAGTGGCAGTGAGAGAAGACTACCTAAGAAGGGTCACTGAACGTTGGAGGGGCACAATGCACCGACAGTGTGAGACAGTGAAGAAGATGGCAACGGCAGCGGTGGGAGCTGCAAGCTGCAAAAGTCAAGTAGGTAAGCTGCTTCAAAGAAAAAAACAGGAGACTGTCAAAGAGAAGGGCATACAGCTGGTAAAAGACTTGATTGGATTTGCCTGGGCTGGGCGGGCAAACAAGAGAATTGGAGTTGGATGACCTGCCATTGCCAGCATCTCCTCCAGCCATTGGGCGGGCCGCTCACTCACTGGTACCTGGGCTGGTAGGATGAGGTGTTTGTCGCGTGACCGACCTACCCGCAGTGGCACAGTTGTGGCCTGTTCAGTCCCCCTGGATGCTCAAAGGCCGTCTGCCCAGGCTCCATCTTTATTTCCCACTCTTTGCATGAGAATGCTAGAGTTGCGACGTTGACGAATAACGCTGCTTGTGATGCATCTCAGGTCTGTGAGATTAGGTACAAGAAAGGGCCCTCTTTGTACAGATGGCGACGCGGGTAACAATGGATACCTGTCCGACCTCTGTGCTTGTTCAGCTCACCCGCTGATAAGGGACGGCCTGAAGCTGCTAATTGAGGCCCTGAAGCTGGCTTGCTGGCTGCCCAGGATCAAGGGAAACAAACCGAGGTGCCACGCCAGCTTGGGAGGCACCTCTACCTAGGTACCTACCCCACCAAACATTGGCTCTAGCGGCTTGACCTGAATGCCTGCCAGGTGCGAGAGGCCTTTGGAGCAGGGAGGCTGTAGAAGATGTACTGGGCGTTTCGAGAGAGGTGCTCCTCAAATGCTTGAGCCGTATTCATGACTTTGGGTTGATTGGAATGGTATGCAAAAAAATCAAGAACCAACAGAGGCCGCCCTCGCTAGAATGACCGCGGAAAAAAAAGGCAACATTAAAAAAGGGTGCAAGATTTGGCGATGCTATCCGTACTTGTTGGTGAGTAAGTGTGTTGTCAGGTCTTGGCATGCTTGTTGCTCCTTTGCCATGCGCCTGGCTGGAGCATTTTGCTTCGCATCGTGAACATGTCCCCACCACCACAAGTGCAAAGGTAGAGCCTACTTTGCAGTGACACTGCTGGGCAAGTCAATCAACCTGAAAAGGGACATATCTCTCCCGTGTCGACGGCCCGTGAGAACGAGCCGGACAAACCAGTTTGGTCAACACTGTCAACTATGAGGAGAGGCCCTCGTCCGGCGGAAAATCTTCCTGCTCTGTTGCTCAAGCTGGCCGGGTGACAGCTGCAGGAGGTGACTGAAACGGATGGGGATGGAGGTGCAGCATCGACATTTGCTAGGTGTCCCGGTCCCGCGATCCAGAGTTGCATCGCCCCCGCCGCGCTTCTGCAGATGCAGCACGCTCGAATAGGACGGCAGCTGAGGCACTTTTGAGTCTTGTAGCAAAGTACATTTGGTGTTGGTTGGAGCGAGGCATCAATGAGGCTAGCCAGAGACGTTGTCGGCCAGTGCAAACAGCACCATCGACCGGCAAGCAAACGGCACCCGGCCTGAGAAGTTGGCCGGAAGCCCGGGTCCTGCCCAACCTCACCAGCGTCCGAGCATGTCTGTGCAGTGCCGACGTCCGCCGGCGCAGACGCCGCGGTCTGTCTGACTCGACCGGAAGGTGTCATCATCCAGCGTCGGAGTTATCGAGACACGATGATCTCTGTCTCGAGTACTTTCTCTCGTCTTTTTGCTGACGATAGCCCAGCGCCTCGATTTTGCAACCCGCATGATGTCGCTGAAATCGGTTGGTCCTCGACGGGCGCCTCATCATGAAGAATTTGCCGTGGCCGAAGCGAGCGGGTGGGATTGACTGGATCTCCCGAGTCGAACCGGGATATCGAGGGCTGGGGATATTCGTCGTTCGGGATCTTCGTCATTATTGCACAGAAACCCACCAAAGCAGTGGCAGAGGATGTCGCCGGCAGCGTTCGATTGGCGGCTTGGGGCAACAGACCTATCAACTTGCATAGTTGAGGTAAGCTCCAGTGTAAAAATATCCATCGCTTGTGTGGTGAGCAAGGTGTCGGGTACCTCGTCTAAGGAGGGATGGGTGTGCAAGGGTTCGTTGCTCGTCAGTTGCCTTGTTTGACTTGCGCAGATGCCGCAGGTCATGTAAACGGGAGGTAACTGGGCGGACGACTTTCGCACCTGCAGATACTCTGACGGTACCTCGAGCGCGGCTTAGGTAACGATTAGCTCGTGGGGCTGATGTGCTCGGGAGAGGCACCTGAGAAATGGGAGAAATAGGTCGGGTGACGGTATTGCGATTGCGCGTTGCTGTTTCGTTGCCCGAGGCATCTGGCTGTTCCCTGGTATCAGAGTCCAGCCACAGTCTCTTTACCTAAGGTAGGTATGTAACTGTTGACATGACAGTGAGATGCCCGGGGAATCAGGGCATGCAGATAGCTTACCTGTGGTACAGCAGCATGAAAAGAAAGTACCATGCTGACGCATAGGTTCAACGCCCTTCCATCAGCTTCCTCGTCGGCTTGGCCAGTGCTTCCCGTGCTGTACTGCGTCGAATGGAGGGTAAGGTAGTGCGAGCTTGCCGCCCCAGCTCCATTGCCGCGAACGGGGAAACGGGGCAACGTACAAAGTAGACGACGGCCAGGGCCAGGGTGCCTCTCGTCGCCGCGGTGTCTCTTCCATCGTGTTTTAGGGGTCGCCCAGCGCCCACCTTCCTGACGAAACACTTGGTTGGTACCTGAGTGGCCGAGCTCTTTACGTACCCCGACCTCACCTCGTCTGCCCGCCCTCCCTTACGTCGAGATCCCTACCTTGATCACATTGACGTTTCTCTCTGCTACCTACCTTTTTTCTGACGACGGCAAACACCCAATCACCAGAAGACGCACCACAAGCCCGCACCCAATCGAAAACTTTTCGCAAGCTCTCTATTTTCCAGCCTTCTTCTTCTTCGTTCAAAGACGTCTGCTTTTTCCATAAGACGTCACCACCGTGCTGCCTGGATTCCCGCCGCTGCCCCTCCAAAACACCCCTCATCAACCCTCCACCGCAGCTCCGGTGTGAAGCTGAAGTACCTAGAACTTCGCATTCGCAACCGTGAAACTCGACTGGCTCGTGACGACAGCTAGCCTTACGTTGCCCGCCAACTCTACCAGAAGCCTCGGGCTACTTGCCTCCTGCTGCTCACCGCCGCTACATACTCTTCCAACTTACCTTTCACTTCCACCCGGGCACCAAAAACTGCACATCTGACATCGCGGGAAACAAACAAAGCCCATCATGTAAGCTCGCTACATGTGCGAAACATTCTTGACTCTCGACTGACAGCTTCGGTGACAGGCGCATCACTCTAAGCATAACGAATCCCGAGGTCGAAGACCAAGATCTTCTCACCCTCGAGATCTTTCCCGACATGCCTGTCTCCACACTCCGCGAAGCCATCCAAGCCGAGACACAGATCCTGCCCACCTCTCAGCATCTCTACCACAACGGCCGTCTGATTCAGGATGACAACAGCACGATGGAGCAGCTGCAGATTGCCGACGGTGAAATGTTGGCGTTGCACGTGAGAGATATGCGAGGAAGCACCGGTGTGCCCGACCAGGGCAGGAGAGGACAAGGACAGCAGCAGCGTCGACGACCCGGCGGCCAAGACCCCGAGCTCATCCGCCTCCAGATCCTTGGTGACCCCAACCTGCGTGCGGAAGCTACCCGTCAGCAGCCTCAGCTCGCCGCCGCCCTCGAAGACCCCGCACGCTTCGCACAGCTGTTCAACGATAGTTACGACCGGGAGCAACGCGAACGCGAGGAGAGGCAGAGGGAGATCGCACGCCTGAACGAGGACCCGTTCGACATTGAGGCGCAGGCCAAGATTGAGGAGATGATTCGCCAAGAGAGGGTAATGGAGAACCTGCAAAACGCCATGGAGCACAATCCTGAAGGTAAGTTAAGGATTCAGTCAAGACAAGGAGCTTGCATCAGCTAACGGTTCGCAGTCTTTGGGAGGGTCCACATGCTGTACGTGGATGTCGAGGTCAACGGCCACAGGGTGAAGGCATTGGTCGACTCTGGAGCCCAGGCCACCATCATGTCGCCGGCGTGCGCGGAAGCGTGTGGTATCATGCGTCTTGTGGACAAGCGCTTCGCAGGAGTGGCTCGTGGAGTCGGCACAGCCAACATCATCGGCCGCGTGCACTCTGCCCAGATCAAGGTCGGAACGCTGTTCCTGCCCTGCAGCTTCACCGTCATGGAGGGCAAGCAGGTGGAGCTTCTGCTCGGCCTCGACATGCTCAAGCGCTACCAGGCCAGCATCGACCTCGCAAAGGACAAGCTTATCATTCAAGGCGAGGAGGTGCCCTTCCTAGGCGAGGCGGAGATCCCGAAGGAGAGTGAGGAGGCACTCGAGGAAGAACCAAGACTACCCGGTCCTGCTGGCACAACCATTGGCCAACGGTCTGGCGTTGTAAGCGGCCCGGCCGGTGGTGGCGCCTCCGCTCCTCAACCTCCTGTTCAACAGGGTGGCCCAGCGCCGGCGCAGTCTGCCGCCCCTAGCTTCCCCGAGGAGCACATTTCTCAGCTCATGGCCCTGGGCTTTCCGAGAGAGGCAGCCGTCAACGCATTGCAGGCCACAGGTGGCAATGTCGAGTTTGCCGCGGGCCTCCTGTTTGGGGCATAGACTGGCCAGACGTATACGGGAAATGGTCGGGCTGAGCAGGACCTGCATGGGAAGCGCGTGGCCAACAAATAGGACAACGGACATTACGGGGTTGGGTACAATACAATAACTAGAGGCGTCATGTGTTTTTCTCGCCCAGTGCGACACGGGCAGCTTGTCCTGGCCCAGGTGTTTGTAAACCAACCAAGTCAGCATGTTGTATTTCAGAGGATAGCCCCTGAGCGGTAAATGCCCACGGAGATTGCAGCACTCGTGCCTTTTCACTGCCGATTCTCTTGTGAGAAGTCTTTTGCATATTTCCCTATGTACAATTACGTGATGAACCCTTTCTCCCCTGTATGATATCCCATATTCCAGTCTTCCGAAGATGCACAACTTTTGTGTAACCATACAAAACTCCAGCCACGACGATATTCTCACCTAATCTTGTAAACACAGGGCTTCAAGATGGAAGTCTCATCAGCATTGTCCTCCGTATTCCACACGAATCGCTTCTGTTTCTTCTCCTTCTCCACGAAACCTGCGGCCTTGGCGGCGGCAAGACCCTTGCCCTTGGTAGGCACGGCGCCCTTGATGAAGTGCATCTTGACGAACATCTTGTTGGACAGGTCCACGGCGCCCTTGTTGCCCTCGCCCTCGCCACGCAGCACGAAGCCGCGCTTTCGCAGGGCCTCGATGAAGGCCGAGACATCCGTCTCGCCGCGGCGGTCTTCGTGGCCGTCAACCTCGACGGCGAGGGCCGTGCGGTCCGCCTCCGTCTCCGCCTCTGCTTTGGCGGCCTTGCCCTTCTTCTCCGTGGCGGCCTGCTTCCTGCGGTTGCCGACGCTGTGGGAGACGACGGCATTCTTGGACTTGACGGGCCCGAAGCGGGACTTGATCTCCGCGATCCACAGCTCGCCCTTCCAGTGGAGGATGCGGTACGCCTCTTCGATGAAGTCGATCCAGTTCGTCCCCATGAGGGCGAGACAGAAGATGGCGATGTCGACCGAGCCGTCTTCCAGAGGGAGGTTGGCAATGTCGGCCTTGGTGACGAACTTGGCGGGGGAGTGCAGGTCGTAGCTCTTGATCTGGAGACGGAGCTTCTGAGACTCCGAGGCCAGCGTCGAGGCGAGGCGGGCGTCGCCGCAGCCCAGGTCGGCAATAATGCAGGTGCCGTCCGTACGGGGGAGCGGCTGAGGCCCGTTCGGGTTCTTGGGGGGCATGCCGCGCGGCGGGAACCGCTGCTTCGCCCGCAGCTTGATGTCGCGGATGTAGCCGTCGACGGGGTTCTCGGGCCACACCTCGACCTGCCGGCGGAAGCCCTCGTGGTACTCGGAGAACATGTCGGGGGAGTCTTCAAAGAGCTGGTAGGCCTCGGCGGAGGGGCGGGTGTACAGCGTCTCGTTGAGATGGCGGAAGCGGGCGGAGATGAGCTTCTGTCTCATGGCGGCCTGGAGGGGGGTGAGTTTTGCGGGCGCCGGGGGCACGGGAGGGACAGACGCAGCAATGGCCGCTGCGGCGTCCTTCGTCTTTTTCTTCTTCTCGTCCTTGCTGGGTGTCTCTGTCGACTGCTCGTCGACATCGTCGTGCTTCTCAACCTTGGACTTCTTGTCCTTCTTCTGCTTCTTGTCCTTCTTGTCGGTCCTAGGCGTGCTTTCCTCCTCTGCCACCTCCTCTTCAGGTTTTGAGTCCTTCTCCTTCTTCTGCTTCTTGCTGGGCTTGGCCGCATCCGGCGCATCCTCGCCGGCCGTGGACGCTCTGCGCTCCTTCTTCTTGGGAGTCTCCTCGCCGCCCTCGCTCTTCCTGCTGCGCTTACCCTCCATCTTCTTTCCCTCAATCACATTTTGGTAGAGGTCGGCAAAGTTGGACTCCGTGACCTTTTCGTCCTTGTTGTTCCTCTTGCGCTTGCGCGTCTTGTTCTTCGCGGGGCCGTCCTTCTGGCCGCCAGGCGTTTCCGACTTGAGGGCGTCAGCCGCGACGGACCACCCTGGGACTGCGAACATGTTTAGGTTGACTTTGAGGTGTCAATGGCTGGTGCTGGAATGAGATCGCAGACGCGGGATGAAAATGGACGTTGTTGTGAATGAAGCGTCGCTCAAAGCTCAGTCTCACGCAGCGGCTCATTCAGTCTTGGTCGATGAAGTTTTTTTTTTTTTTTCCCCTTCCCATCGTTATCGCACCCCTGGACGCTGATCGGCGCCAGGATGGGAGAAGCAAGGTGGGTGGACCGTGCACACCGCCGAGCTTTTGGCACGCAGTTGCATCGTCTAACTGTAAGCCAACTTCCCCATCACCACTTTTCCGTCTTTGGGCCGACTTCTGTACGGATTTGCCTTTCAAAACTCAGCACTAAACCCACCCATCTGGTTTTCCTCATGAGATGCGTTTCTTGTGGAACGATGCGCGAGCCTGTCAGCGCCGCTATGAAGATGTGCATCTACCCAACGTTGGCGCCACTTCCATGAAGACGGCTTTGCGCCAGTGAGATGCAAATCATCTGTCTGGCACCAACAGCGGTAAGACCTGCGACATCCTTCAATACCCCAGATCGTCTTGGCATCATGAATGCTGCCACCCGTCACCCTGGTGGGAATGCCCCTTTGCACCTACTGACATGCTCGAGTTGGACAAGGCCAAGTGCATTCTCTGGACCCTGACATGGCCTCCAGTTGACTTCCGCCCGTCCGCCCGCTCCCTTCCGCCAGAAACTGGAGGAACGCGCTACTGGGAAGCCAGGCCGGCTCACCACAACCACCCTGCCAGGTCTTCCGAGATCTGCACGGTGGCTCATCGGATTGGTCCTGATCTTTCGGCCCTGCATCGGGTCCTGGGATCACGACGTTTCAGCTTACTTTTCCAGCTTGCAACGACGCCAGTAAAAGCAAAGGAATTGTTGTTCCAGCAAAAAGACAAATAGCTCGCCCAATGGGGAAGCCATGATTACCTCTGCAATCTCCAGAATCCTCCCGCATGCGTCGGACCAGACGGAAACATCCAGACGCGTGCGGGAGCGACCCCAAGAAGGCACTCAGAACGGGGAGCCGCAACCTGGGCCCGACGAGTCCGAGCCTCGTTACCTACGGCTGCCTTGAGCCGAACAAACGTCCGACATAGGCAACTTTGCCATGGCGTCTGTTAAGCCAGCTCAGAAGGGGAAGGCCTCCTGTCAAACAGGTTGCTGGCTGCCCTAAGCTTATGACAGCAGGCTGGGGACGGATGGCTTGTCCTCCATCCTTTGGGTCGCCGCCAGTCTATTAAAGTTAGGGCCGTTGATAGCTCTCCATGCAGCTAGTCTCCAGCCTGGGATGATGGTTCCCCTGGTTTAACCACCGAAACATTGCTCCCTCGGATGCCGCCACGCATGCGGCCCCGTTGTAACCGCCTGCGCATTCTCACCGGAGACCAGAAGCTTCTGCAAAGTTTTGGACGGCGGCAGCGACCCACCGGTGGGTTGTTCGGCGGACAGTCGGTTCAATTCTCAAAAGACTCCGACTTGTGGTCCGAAAAACGGGCACGGCGCATTAACCGGCCTTATGGAGTACCGCTATGTTTGGCGTTGATGGCGTGGGCACAGAGACAGGGACCTGGGGAATGGCAGCAAACCAACACGGGTGGCAGCATTCGGGGATGAACGGCCTTCCAGAGCCGTTGGTCTCGGGAGCCAAGACAAGACATCAAAGAGACGAGACAGTTCAGAGAACCTTGAGGCTGGAAACGCTCACCAAAGAGACAGAAATAGGGCAACCGGCACCGTGGCACGAGGCGCAGTTCAGTCTCTGTGCCGCAATGTGCCAGATGCCTTTGTTTGGCAGCCGGGCTTGCTTCATTGCCACGATTCGCATCTGGCTATTTCAGGATCGTCCTCGACGGCCAGTCTTCGACGTCACGGCACTCATTGCTCTCTCGAAAGAGGAGAGAGCTCCCTGCCCCGACTCTACTACTGGCATGCGGGAAGGCTACCTGCATACTTAGCCTGTGGCGGCAGCCAGTATCGACCTCTGCTCAGATCAGATACAGTAAACATCCGGGAAAAGCTGCCAAGGCGACCCTGCGCGTCGAGGAGGACGAGAAGGCACAAGGCGATCGATGATGGGCGGGAACCGATTGTGACCAGTTGCAGTTGTTCAAGAGGGAAAGGGGGCGGGCGGAGGTGGTCCGCGGGGATCGGCGTGCCTCCTCCTGTTCGACAACGAGCACGTTTGTGTTGCACCGTATGCCAGCCGACTGTGTACTGCGGCCAGTCGCCGGTGACACCGTCCATGAGGTCGGAAACGCAACGATTGGCCGAAGCTGATGTTCGCATGCTTGGTGGCTAGAATGGGGGGGGGGGGGGGGGGATGGCGAGATCCCAGCGGCACATCGCCGTTCATCTCAATCAGTCCATCGGCCTGCCAGACTTGGAATGCATTCACCTAAGTTGGGACGTCGTGGCAAGAGAGACGGGTTGAAAGGCTTGTCTCGTCAATTCTCATACTGTCCCAACGGCGGCAGGAAGGGCTGTCAAGCCATTGAGAGCCTCCACCCTACCTAGCAGACGGCCTTCGCGAGGCCCCGTCGGCGTCGGGTTGTTCTTTCTTAGCATGCCGCTTGCTCGGCACATGGCAAGTTGCCTAAAACTAGTGGGCAGAAATGCATCCCACCTTGGAACGCCACCGGCGCATATCTCACTTTTGGGCTTGATGGCCACCAACGGACGATCTGGATACCCCATCGATGACGAACACCCCCGGCCCTGCTGAAGATTCTGAACATCACGAGGGTTTCAATGCATCTTCAATAGTAGCGACGAGCGACGCGCGACGGGCAGTCACGGATGCCGCGTCCCCGTAGGACTTCGCCGTCGACCTAGTCGACGCTTTTCGCCGGATGTCGTCTTGGTCATTGCTGACCCCATAGGGCAGACGAGGGGCAACAGGCTGGACCCTGACAGACGGGGAGAGTCCAGACCTCCAAAGACCTCGGATGAAATAGCGTTCGGCTTCTCTCTCTGAGCCCCATGTTGTCTGCGACGTTGGCGGTGCCCAGGGCGCGAATGCTGCGAGATGGTTCATGCCACCACGAAGCTCAAGATACCCATGGCCAGATTGTCGGGTATGCGAGGACAAAGTCTGTTGAGCGTTGCCGTTGGGATTTGCAGCTTGGCGGGTTGCCTAACCCAACCTCCAATCTCCGCCGCGCTTCAATCAAATTTGCAGTAGTTGCCCTACCGGGACGGTACCGGATTGGATTGCTTCACCGCAACAACGACGATGCAGGCCGCACGATGCACAGCACAGCGTAGTGTATGCGCAGAAAAGTTTCTTTCCTCGTCAGACCATGCGTACATGAGTAGCTCGGGTTAGCTCTGCTAGACCCGTGGGACCACAGCACCACAGGAAGCAGCTTTTTGCTTTCGAGAAGGAGAAGAGACGATGATTCAGTCAGCTCGTCCTAGTGCCGTGCGCCATTCCACTGAGCCCTGTCACTCGGGACATGACAGATCCCTGAAAGAGGGGCCCCCGGTCCGCCCCTCAGTTCAGTGGCAGCCGAGGCCCTAAACGGCCTAATCCTCGCAGCCCAGCGGCGCCATCGCGCGAAAACATGGCAGGCTCACGACGGAGCTAGAACCCTGGACGAGCCTTACCAACCACCGTATGTACTGCATAGTACCTACCTACTTACGGCGGCATGTATGCATTATTACTGCCCGCGGGAGGGGAAGAGCAGACACAGCAGACGCAGCAGACACATTGAGATGGATTTCGGGGCGACTGGGGGGGACGTCTTTGACATGGAACCTACCTGGGAATCATTGACTGAGCCATCTTAGCGCGCTGCTTTATCACGCAGCAGCACGTATCACACCCACTCGTGTTGCTTCCGCAAGCCACCCCAATACGCCGTATGTGTGTTTTCTCCCTCCCGTCGTCTTGCCGCACCTCCTACATACATGCCCATACTGGACCAAGAATAGCCAGGGCCGGGCAGCCAACTGCGTGCGGTGGACGGTCCAATTCAAGACCTTGAGCCAAAGGTGAGTAGGCAGTGATTAGAGAGTCCCATGTTTTCACTCTGCTGTTAGTGTTTGTTGTCTTGCTCGTACTTGTCACGTCCCTGACCCCCTCGAGCCCGAGTCTCTCAGAGACAACTCCAATTGTCCTGCAATGCTGTCTCTCACCCTCGTCCCCATCACCGGCAGCATCGACCATGGCTTTGTCTGCCTTGCCGGTCATGCACGATTAATGACCCCTACCTGAATCATCTGCATCCCCGTCCTCCCATTCGTCTGGGCCGGCTCTCGTGTCTGGTTTGGTTCGTCCCGATCTCCCAAGTTTCCAACCTCCATCTTCCTGTCACCACCCCCCGGTCCCTCCGGCCCGGCCTCCTCTTAGTCTTCTCGCCGCTTGGCACCTCCCTCGCTCTCTACCTTGTCTCCGTTGTTTGTGCATCTGCCTCTCCACGCCGCCTTTCTTCACCTTGCTTGATACCCTGTTACAGTACATTTGCCTGCCTTGGAGCTACCTTAATCTACCTACCCTTCTTCCCCTCCCCCCGTCTTCTCTATTCCAGAGTGGGAAAGGTCACCAGTCCCTCGTGTCGTGAGAGACACATCTCCAACTGCTGCAGACATCCTTACACCCCCGTCCTACCCCACGAGTCCATGCGTCTTGTCCAACCCGTTCATGACAACCTATTCGGCGTAGACAAAGTCACACCGGCTTGTTTCACTTCCTTCCACCGTCTATGGCTGCTTGATAAAAAGCATCTCACTCCAGGGCGCCCGACTTGCTTCCTCTAACTTTCCACCCTCGAACCCCGTCCCGTTGCCCGCGCACAAAGGCGGAAGTTAACCCACCTTGTCTCGCTGCGCTGCTGCCACTCTTGGACGCTTGTGGCCCGTTGAAGACGCCGCCTCTTGACTAAACGCCTGCCCAGAAATCACAGCTTTAGCCCACCCTCCTTCACCGTCACCGACGCGCCGAACACCGAACGGCACTGTTCTGAGAGTAGTAGTAGTACTCTCTGTGCCTTGGGCAAGCCACACGATATCTTGTGTGTGCAAGTTTGCGGGAACTAGACGAGACCATCTGTTGTCGACAGGACCCAGTGGATGGAGATTTGAGTCGGGTCACGGAGCTTCACTCACAACAAGACAGCATAGCATCTACTAGGATGGACACGGCCGATGGGGCGCCCGACGGCGGCGACAAGTCCCCGACCAAGGCCTCGGGCAACAACGATGAGAATGACAACGATGACCAGAACCGCAAAAGAGCGAACGTCAGAAAGAGGACCAAGACCGGTTGCCTGAGTACGTGCCCGCCTTCTTCAGCCAGATTCAACACGAAGGGATGTCTCGTCTCTAGACCGAATTGCTAACATGACCAAAAGCATGTCGAAAACGACGCATCAAGTGCGATGAGGGAAGGCCCATTTGCAACAACTGCATCAAGTCCAAAAGACACTGCGAGGGTTACAACCAGCGAGTCATCTTCAAAGACCCAATCGGCGCATTCAACCTGAACGGAGTCTACGGCCCCGTGGTCTACCCTCCCGAGGCCTCAAATCCCCCTTTTCATCAGCTGTCCAACCCGCCGCCGAAGTCCTCCAATGCGCCTCCCCTGGCACCAATAGCTCCCAAGCCGCCACAGAACATGGACTATGGCGGCCAGCCGATGCATCCCCAGTATGGCCAGGGGTTCCCAGGCCCATCTTCGGGTCATCACCCATCTTCCTCTCCATTCGACTTCAACCAGTATGCCTTTGGGCCGCCGCAGATACCCCCGCAAATGCCCCCGACGCCTTCATTGACATCGCCCATCAGCCCAGACCAATTCCAGGGACCGTTCGGCGGAGCCCAGAGCACCTTTGTAAGTCCAAATACCGACAACGGCTCGTTTGCGTACGTACCCCGGGAAGCATGGCAAGGACAGCATTCAAATCATGTACGGGTGGAAGAGATTCGACACTACCCCAACGACCCTCTGCGGCGAGAAGACGTGGTGGAGGACCCCGATGTCCAGTTCTTCTTCAACGACGACGACGACGCATCCATGGGCGATTCGGACGACGGCTTCGAGGACTTGATGGGTGAGGAGAGCGCCTACGGACAACTGGTTCAGGCCCGTTCGGACGGTCCCTGGGACGGCTTCGGCACCGAGGTCAGAAAGTTCTCCGCCTTTGCGGAGGAGACGATTCTCACGTCGTACATTCCGACCCCGAACAACTCACCGCTCAACGACGAGCGGACGGCAGCCCTGTTCTGGCACTTTATCAACGTCACGGGCCCCAGCATGTCCCTGTACGAGAGGCATCCGTTTGACCACACGAAACTGATGAACAACTTTTCTGTGCCAAAGGCCGGCCATAACTTGTGGACCTGTAAGTGTTTCCATGCCTCTACCGGGCTGGACACGATTAACCATCCGCAGACACGTTCCCCATCCTGTCGTTCAACCACCCGGCACTCCTCCAAGCAATGCTTGCCTTGGGCGCTTTACAGATAGCCAAACTGCAGCAGATCCCGCCGACGGCGGCCATGAAACACTATCACCTCTCCATTCGCAGGATCGCAAAGAACGTGCGAACAGTAAAGAGGAGGACGTCACCAGCCACGCTCGCAGCCACCCTGCTGTTGGGGTACTTTGAAGTGTGGAATTCGGACCACTCCAAGTGGTGCAATCACCTGTTTGGAGCCAGGCTGCTGATCAAGGAGATACCTTTTCGGGAGATGACGAGGAACATACTGCCGCTGAAACGAGCCAGACGGGCGCTGTTCCAAGAAAGCCAGAACCAGCCGTTTGACCCCTTTTACATGGGCCACGACAACACGCACATGATGAACCATGATCTAGACGATTTGGACCTTGGCCTGCTGAGTCAATTAACGAACCAACACGTGTCGTACGAGGACCATGCAGCAGCCTCGATCGGCAATTACTACACTGACCGCGATATCGAACATTACGAGCATTTGAGGGATCTGTATTGGTGGTACTGCAAGATGGACGTCTATCAAAGCATGCTCGGTGGTGGGAAGCCATTGTAAGTGTTTCTCTCGCGGATGCACATGACAACGCTGACGGACTTATAGTATGGACTACCAGCACTGGACGCAATGTCCGCCCCGAGCCCCGATGGGTCGACTGGAGGCCATGTAAGTCACCCTCTAGGTGCAGATAGCATTGAACATGTGCTGACTCTGGTAGCTACGGAACGTATGACCACTTGATGCTCCTTCTTGGTCGCCTGTGCAGTTTCGCTTCCAAGGACCTCGCTCGAAAGAAGAAGTCGTTCAAGGGGTTCGGGTCTCCGGGTGGCCCCCCGGGCGGTCGTCCAGGGGTTCCCACCGGCGGCCCTCCCGGTGCGCCGCCAGGACGGGGAGGGCCGCCAAATGCGTCCGGGCCGCCGGGAGGAGGAGGCCAGGAGTGGGGCCAACCGGGGATGGCGACCGGTATGCCTGGAGGCGGGCCGCCCCCTGGCATGATGGGAGGGATGCCTGGTGGGCCGCCCGGAGGTCCACCGCCGGGCATGAGAGGCCACCCAGGAGGGCCGGGCGGTCGGATGGGAGCGCCTCCCGGGGCCGGGTCACCGCCCATGTTCCCGGGCATGCTGCCGAATCTCCAAAAGGTGAGACTGCCCATGGGCTTCAGCCCTCCGAGAGACGACTCGCCGCCTCCGCCGGAGATGCCAGAAGACCTCGACTCCGACGTTGCCATGGAGGCGGCGATGCGTGAGTGGGAAGGCCTTAGGGAGGCGTTTGAGATCCTCCGATCCCAGTTCGGGCCCGAGTTCCAGGCCCTGGGCGCCGAGTACGCAGACCACAGGGACTCGCCCTTTGGGCCGACGCTGCAGTACCGCACCTTTTCCGTGGCCGGCATCTGGATGAACTACTACATGGGCCTGATCCATCTTTACCGCGCACACCCGAGGATGCCGCCGGCCGCCATGATTGCCGCGGGCATCCAGGCGCAGCATACCGAGAAGTTTGCCATCGAGATTGGGCGGATCGCGGCGGGGCTGACGGACGACGTCTCCAACGCCACCGAGATCAGCACCTTGGTCGGGGCGGCGCTCATCGAGAGTGCCTTCTGTCTCTTTGTCGGCGCTATCCAGGTAATACATTCACGTGGCCTCACCGCCCTTTTACCCGCCCGGAGATCATCCTCGCTAATACGGTGTACAGTACAGAGACGACGCCCAGCGTCACTGGATCGTCAGGCGGATGCACGACGTAGCACGTCTCACAGGCTGGCAATCTGCGCGACAAATCGCCGAGGGCTGCGAGTCTGGCTGGAAGAAGGCCGCGGCTATGGGACGGGGTCCGCCGTACACAAGAGACCCCACGCTCCAGACTGTCGTGCCCCCCTCGGTGTGGTTGAACCCGAGGAGGATTGGCGCCCGGCTGGAGCTGCTGGACGGAGACGACAAGGTGCTCGTCGTCGCCAAGACGGAACGGGCGCATTACGCCCTGGGGCTACTCAGTGTCGAGCAGGAGCTGGAGAGGCTCGATATCAAGGAGGGATGAGAGACAGCCCTTCTAGGCGATGGACGGGTCGTGTACGATGTGTAGATCAGGGCTTCCAACCTTTTCGAGTAGGTTTAGTTTTAGATCAATACGACGGGTCCATTCAACGTCACCTCCTGAGATCCTCATCACGTTTGAGTACGCTATTGATACACGGGGGGAAGTCGTCTAGACGTCAGGTTCCTGATTCGTGACCGGTGTGCCTGGGTAAGTATCTTTTGGGTTTCTCTCCCTTCCAGAAAACGTCTTTTTTACCCGCCCAGCCTCATGATTCTCTATTACGCTCACCCTAGCCCATGCTCTCGTCTAGTTGGCAGGGAGTCGCTCCACGACCGCGGCCATCTCCTCATCCGTGTATATTCTGAAGCCCTTTTCCTTCGTTACGCTCGCTAACTGCACGTTTTTCGAATCCAACTTCTCCTCCATAACCTGCTTCAGCGTCTTGAGCACCAGTGTCTCGGCGTCGGTAATCGTCAGAGACTGGAGATCATGTCAGACACGGTTCAAACACATCGCCGCGGAGGGGGTCTCACCTTGTGGTACTCGTTCTGCAGCTCAGCCTGAGCGCCCTCGGAGCCGGAACCGATGGCCTTGGCGTCGTAACGGTAAAAGGTGCCGCTGGGCTCGGCGTGGAAGAGCTGGGGGCCGTCCTCGTCGTAGCCGGCAATCAGGAGGGCGACACCAAAGGGGCGGGACATGATGGTCTCCTCACCCTCGGCACCCTCACCGAAGCGGAGGGCCAGGTCGCAGATGGCCTGAGTGCACGACTCGACGCGGAGGGGCTCGTTGTAGTTGAAGGCGTGGGACTGGGACTCGACGCGGGCGTGCTCAACCATGGAACGGGCATCGGCCTGCAGACCGCTCATAGCGCATCCGATGTGGCGGTCGATCTCGACAATCTTCTCGACGGAGGAGGTCTCCAGGAGGGTCGAGGTTACGCGCTTCTCGACACCGAGGACGACACCTTCGGAGGTGGCAACACCGATGGCCGTGGAGCCGAGCTTGATGGCCTCGAGGGAGTATTCGACTTGGAAGAGGCGACCTTCGGGGGAGAAGGTGTTGATACCTCGATCTGTTGTTGACGGGTTGTCAGAGGAGCTCTTCTCGGAGACAGGGAAGGAGGGCAGTAGGCTTACCGTATTCAGATCTTGCCATAAACATCTTGGCGGTGTTATGTGTGTCAAATTGCTAAAGAGAGAAGGTGGTGAATCTCTTCCAGAGGAATTGATCGATGTGTTCAATTCCTGAGCGTTGCAGGCGTGGGTGATGCGGTTGCGGGATGCTGGGGTGGTGATGGTGGTGGTGGATGGAGGGGAGCTCGTGGTGCAGGCAAGGTAACCAAACGGTGACGGTGGAAGGCTGAAGCACAGTCAGGTCGTTAGGCAAGCACCAGCCTACGCAGCCGCAAGCTTGGGGGGCTCCAGCAGCGGAAGCAGTACCACTACCACCACCACCAGCAGGACTACGTACCTGGCCCGGACCTTAGCGCAGCTTGCTCCTGGCCCCTGTTCGTCTGTCAAAAGCTTCTGATTGGCTGGAGTGACAAGATCCCCTCCAACAGCTGCCCGCTGTCCCGTCCCCGGAATATTTCAGGGGTCAGGCGAGCCCCAGGGCCGGGGCCAACAACACGCGAGGATTTTCCGAGCAGACGCGCCTGGGCTAATAGGCACTTTACTGTGTAGCCCAGCCCAACCTGCCCGCAGCTTAGACCTGGAGAGTGCGACTCTGCAAATAGAGGGGCACGACTTGACGAACAAAGAGGGACTGACAAGGAATAAAGGTGCACACCCTCCAAGACACGGCCGCAGACGAGACGAACGCCCAATCGAGAGGACCATCACATCAAGAAAACAACGCCCCAAAGACGCACTATACCCCCACCAATGCAGTCGGCGACATGTCGTCTGGCACGCGCCGCGCGAACGGCACAGCCTCTGCAGCTGCGGACCACGAACGACTTTCGAGGGCGTCACGCATGAACACTGCGGCGAACGGGGGAGGCAGCGGCAGCGGCAGCGCTCACGCGAGCTTTAGGAGCGAACGCAGCGAGCGGAGCGATGCGCGGCAGCAGCAGAGGGAACGGGAGCGCGAGAGGGAACGAGAACGGGATCGCGAGTCGGGAAGCAATGCGCACAAGAGGTCTGCGTCGGGAAACCCTCGCACCACGAGCAGGACGCAGGACGACCGCCACGTAGAGGAGAGGAGAACAGAGAGGACGTATGTGACCCAGCTGGAGACGCTTGTGCAGCGGACGCGGAGCCCTGAGAGGGGGGACCGCAGAGGCGACAAGGGCAAGCCGAAGGAGGACAAGTCGCGATCAGCCGAGACGAAGCTTAAGGAGGCCAGGGTCGAAACCCCGTCCGGTGAGATTGCAGTTTGCCGTCGTGATCGAGGGAATGCTCACTAACTTGCGCGTGCAGCACCGTGGAACCCAGAGGCGACGCTTCTCCCCCATACATCTGCCCCCTTAGCGTGTCGAATATCCATACCGCCATTGGCGTCCCAAGCGCCCCAGCCCCAGCAACCGAAGCCACTTAGCGAGCTGTCACTCGAGGCACAGGAGGCGGTCATGATTGAGGATCTGCTGTTCGTGTTCATGGGCTACGAGGGCCAGTATATCCGCTTCGCCAAGACGTACAACCCGCACGAGGAGAGGGATCGTCTTTCAGGGCCAACATTTAGAATATTGCCTGGCCTGGACCCGAGCCTGCAGGATCTGACGGCGTCAATGCTGAAGATGGCGACGTACTACTCTGCTCTCGAGATGTTCGTCGACGTGCAGAGCAGAGAGGAGTTTGGCGCCGTCAACCACGCGTTATGTGCCTCCGTCAGGAAGTTCCTTCACGACTACCTTGTCATGATTGCGCAACTTGAGACGCAATTTCTGACAAACGAGACCTTCACGCTCCACGTATTAAACATTCACACCCTGCCTACCAACCAGATGATGTCACACCTGTACTCTTTGGCACACGAACTGCTGAAGCGAAACGCACTCCTAGACGACGATGACGAGGAGGAAGAGAGCGACAGCGCGGACGACTTTGAGAACATTCTAGAGTCCCTGCGTGAGGGCGGCGATCTGGTGCCGGGATCGGGGAAGAAGATCTCCAAAGGCGGCGTCGTGCTCGGCTTGCTCACCAAGAGGCTGGAGTCCCTGTCAGGAGACCCCGCGGCGCGCGCACTACTGACAACGCTGCTCCGAGACGCCAGCAAACCGTACATGGTCATGCTGAACGAGTGGCTTCATCATGGCGGCATCAACGACCCACACGCCGAGTTCCTCATCAAGGAGCAGAAGAGCATCCGCAGAGAGCGCCTAGAACAGGACTACACGGACGAATACTGGGAGAGACGGTACACCATCAGAGAGCACGACATCCCGCCTCAACTGGAAGGTGTCAAGGACAAGGTCCTGTTGGCAGGAAAGTACCTCAACGTGGTCAGAGAGTGCGGTGGTGTGGACGTCAGCAAGGTCGTCTCGGACGTGCCCAACTCGTTTGACGACAGCCGTTTCCTGGAAAACGTCAACAACGCATACGCCCACGCCAACGAGTCCCTCATGCAGCTGTTGCTCACCACACACTCCCTGCCCGCGCGGCTGCGGTCGCTCAAGCACTACTTCTTCTTGGACCCGTCCGACTACTTTTCCTATTTCCTCGAGCTCGGCGCCTCGGAACTGCGGAAGCCCGTCAAGTCCGTTAACACCGGCAAGCTGCAGTCACTGCTCGACCTCGTCCTGCGCCAGCCTGGCAGCATCGTGTCTCTGGACCCGTTCAAGGAAGACGTCAAGGTGGAGATGAACGAAATCACCCTCACAAAGTCCCTTCAGAGGGTCGTCAACATCACGGGTATCGAGCAGGGCGAGTCGCTGCAACCTCTGGCGAACCAGCCGGTCGAGAACGACAAGAACGCGATTGGCTTCACGTCGCTGCAGCTCGACTACACAGTGCCCTTCCCCGTCTCTTTGGTCATCAGCCGCAAGACCGTGTGGCGTTACCAGGCGCTGTTCCGCTACCTGCTCTCGCTCAGATACCTCGAGTCCCAGCTGTCGACGACGTGGCACTCGCAGACGACAGGCATGACGTGGTCTCACAAGAGCTCCTCGCGCAGCCTCGAGATTTGGAAGCGCCGGGTATGGACGCTTCGCGCGCGCATGTTGGTGTTTGTGCAGCAGCTCTTGTACTTTTGCACGGCCGAGGTCATTGAGCCCAACTGGGCCAAGTTCATGTCCAGGCTCAAGGTCAAGGAGGACGGCCAGGACGGTTCTAGTACCACCGAGGGACCGACAAGGACGGTGGACGAGCTGATGCAGGACCATGTGGATTTCTTGGACACGTGCTTGAAGGAGTGCATGCTCACCAACAGCAAGCTACTGAGGGTGAGTCACAGGGCGCCTCGCTCATCTCTGCGTGCCACACGACTAACAACCTGCAGATCCACTCAAAGCTGATGCAAACCTGCACAATCTTTGCGACATACTCCAACTGGCTCTCGCGTGAGCTGGAAAAGGCCGATCCAGACTTGTCCGGCGCCACCAAGCCGCCCAACATGACGCAGAAGCAGTGGCGCGCCTTTCAGGAGGTGCGCACGCAGAAGCCCTCGGGCTCGCACAGCGAGTCGACATCGTCGGCGGGTGCCGGCGAGCAGCACGAGGCCCGCGTGGGCAACCTGTTTGAGATCATGAAGAAGTGGGAGGGCAACTTTAGCAGGCACCTGCAGATCCTCCTGGACGCGCTGAATCACTACGCCGCCACGGAGACGGTTGTGCTGCTCAGTTTATGCGCGCGGCTTAGCACGGCCAACCAGGGAACCGAGTATGCGGGGTTGAGGAACGAGGAGGACAGCATGGCATGATTGTGCGTTGACATTACATACCCTTCCATTCGAGAAAATCACACGAGACGGCGTTCTGGGGTTGGAGCAGACGGAGTCATCGTTCCAGGACGGCATCAAAAGCAGTCGAGGGGGGGAGGAGGGAAAGAAAGCGGCAGGGGCGGGTTTTGTCCACTTGCCCTACCTAGACAGATACCATTGATTTGCTGATGCGCGCAGCGTCATGTTCAAGCTTCTTCTCTTGTCGTTGAGTTTGTATTCAATGCATCATGTGAGGAGTTGTCATGACAGGGTTTCATTTCTCTTAATGCTTGGGAGAGGGAGAGCCTCGGGTATGCTGAAATTATACACGTGGTGGTAGTACATGTTGCCGTCCGGCATCTATTTCTCCAGAGCCTCCTTAATTATCTCGGAGATACGCTTCTTGTCAATCTCGACGTCCTTGCCCTGGACCGCGGCGTTGACCAGCTTCATGACCTCGCCCAAAGAGACCTTTCCAGCAGCAGTGGCCTGCTCAATGGCCTTCTCGACATGCACGCGGACGTCGGCCTCGGTGACGGTGAGGACGCCCGAGTTGGCAATGTACTCGGCCATGACCTTGGCCTGAAGATCCTCCTTGTCGGCCAGATCGTCGCGGCCGGCGGCACGGAACTGGGCGGCGGCGTCCTGGCCGGCGCGCTGGGTCTTGCGCAGGAGAGCGACGAGCTGGGCATCGGTGACGATGGGAGACGACGTCTTGGCAGCGTTGTTGGTGGCGGACAGGACGGAGCGCAGGACAGAGAGGCGAGCGGCATCCTTGGCGCGCATGGCCGTCTTCAGATCGGCCTTGAGATTGGCCAGGAGCGGAGGCGCGGCCGGGGCGGCGTCCGAGTAGAAGCGGAGCGTCCGGGGCAAGGCGCGGCCGGGCACTACCGTCGGCCGGAGAGTCTGGAGGAGACGTGTTGATTGTCTGGCGGCCATTGTGATGTGCGTTGGTCGGAAGATGGAGTAAGTGAATCAGAAGATTGTCCAATTGGTCGTTTCTAGTGTCGTCGACCTCGTCAATTGCTCGAGTGTTGAGTGTAACTAATTCGTTGTCTGAAGCTGTCGATGGGCCGACAAAAAAAAATCGAGAGCTGTGAGATGCATAAATTTGGGCAAGCTTTCCCATTGGCCGGAGCTCATGGCCTGTTCCAGATGTGCAAAGAGGTCGGCGGCGTTGGTGGCGCATTGCGGCTTCGGCGCCAGCCAGGGGCGGATGGACGGTGGAGCTCCCCCAAGGGCATGTCTGTCTGCCGAGGTCTTCCAATTGAGTTGGTGCTCGGTGCCCAGTCCCTACACTATTGCCTATCAAGTGTCTGTCAGGGTCGTCCGGTCGTTGGTTCGTCGTATTTGGGGAATTGGATCCACTGATTAACACTCCCATTGACTGACATCTGTGACTTTGACAGTTTCCTCCTGCCCGTTCGTTGGCCGGAGCATGGACATGTTGAGACATGCAGAGAACATGCATAAGGTTCGGATGACACAAAGTGTTCAACGACGCGTCCTTGAGAACCCGACCGGAATGCTGCGATCCAGATGCGACGTTTGTGCAATTTCTAGAGCTTCTCAGCGTCGCCTGATGTGCAGGCTGTCAGGGAATCCGCTGCACCAGCAAGGGTCGGGGCACTCGCAAACGCCTCCGGATATCACATCCACCGGGGGCATCAGGCCCAAGGTTCCGGGGTGGCATACGGTCGTAATATAGATTCGGTTGGGATGGGGCCAATCTGCCTGGTGTGTAGCCTCAGCAGCATCGGTGTTCGGGGCGACGGGCAAAGAAACTCTCAGAGTTGCAAGCTCGTCGCCATTGTGGCTGATTGGTCCCTTACCTAGTCGATTCTATTGTCAGTCCCGAAGCACCAGAGCCGCCGCCAATGCCGTCTGTTCGTCGTCGTCGTCGACTCGGATGGGTACGACACCAAGCGGACCTTCTTCAAAACGTCTGTGCCATGGTCCTGCCAGGATGGCCAGGATGGAGCTCCCGAAGCTGGGGAACCTGAGCCGCTCGAGCTCACCGGCGTGGGAACCGGCAGGATATTGGCGTGGAATTGGCTTGGAATTGGCGAGGACGACGGCGGCGGCGCGGGTGCGGCAGCAAGACATGGCATGCCCTGGTTATTGCTCTCCAGATGAAAGTGGATTCCGGTGAATTGCTGCGTACCCTCAGATGGAACACGACTCGACTGCTCGGCCGCGGGGGCCAGACAACGACATGGCACACGGATGACGTGCCTGCCCTCTCAGTCAGATGATGGCCGAGGAATGTGTGTGTGTGTGCGTGTGTACGTGTGTATGCTGTACATAGTATTCGTGGACGTGTCTGAGTATTCGCTCAATGTGACGTGAAGTGCTCCAGGCCTCCCTCACCGAGAGACGACCCGACGGTCTGGTAGCGAGTCAAATCTGCGCGTTCGTTATCCATTATCCATCCTCCCCTGAACTAGGCAAGAACCAACCGCAGGACGGCTTCTCGTCTGGGCGAAAGCAGACACGCCGCCGTTCTGCCTCCTTCCAATCTAAACCCAACTGAGGTGAGGTGGACAAAACGAGCCCAAGTCCGTCCAGTCGGGTACCCAGACCGGGGAACCGCCTTCGCTTTTCTCCTGCCCTCCCTCCACCGCTTCCCTTAGCTTCCGTTGCTCTCCACTTCAGGTCTCGCACCGCACCGCACCGGTCTCCTGTATTTCGACTTCATGGCTTCTCTCCCTTCTTTGCGTCGTGTGCCGTAAAACTCGCCCTTGCCTGCAGAGGCATCAGCCGAAACCTGTCTTACACAACGGCCAACATACCAGACGATACCGAAATAACCTTACCTGGTTACGCCTTCTCTTTAGCCGGCCTCGACAACAGCAAGAACCAGAGGCGGAAATTCCCTCGATAGTCCCAACGTCGCCTTTCCCATGCTTTCAACAGTCGCAAAGGTCGAGAGCGAGAGCGCAATCCAGATCCAGGCCGTCATCGGCTTCACACCTGCCACGTCGCCGACAACACATCAGCTCCACCTTGACTAACACCGGGGATGTATGGAGTCTGGGCAAGAGCCGAAGCCTTCGCCATCAGGTTTTTCTCTGGTTCTTTCACGAGTGAGCCAACTTTTGTTCACGTTGGAGCCATCAGGTGCGAATAAGTCGAAAGAAACTCAAGAGACTTGCGAGCTAGGCACGGGGTATTCGCTGCCGTGACATCGTCATCATCAGAAGCCCAGAAAAGAGTGCCCACCGAAACTACCGAATTCTATCCCTCTCAAGGCTCCCCTGGATCTGTAATAAACCGATTTGCCAAAAAAATGATTCGCCTCAACGACGCTTGCGCCCTATACAAACATACCTGCAACGCGCCTGTCAGCTCTGGAAGTCTTGCCGCAAGAGAGTCTCCAGGCCATACTTACATTGGAAAATACGCCTGTTACGAGCAGCGGATCATTGTCCTTCATGTTAGTCACAGCTCCAATCCTGGACAGTCTGCAAATCATGGAAAACTAACCCTGAACTCCGGATTGTCAGCCTCGCTTCTGGCCTGTGCGACCAGAACTTGGAACTCTTGGGACGTCATGCTATATAGCAAAGCGGTCAGCTGCTTTGCCCGAACGCTTGACTGTGGCGGCTGCTCAGAACTCACCCCCGGAACTCCGTCATTGGGAAGTGTCCTAATGACGATAGAAATCTCCTCACGTTCTCTCTGTTCGCCAAGCCGATCTGATGTTGCCGTGGATCTTGCGTCTCTGGTCAGCACCGACAATCTACAACCCAGTGTTCGGCGAATCCGTACCGTTGGACCATCCGCAGGTCGGGAGCGGGATCATTTGCGTCTCCACCGAGTCGAAGCCTGCACTTTGCATCCAGCTCTGCATCTGCAAGGGAGCTCGAGGGTCTTTGTACGGTTGCATGCTGTCCAGATATCGTCTCGACCACCTTCGAAGTGCGTGATCTGGCCATGTCAAAAGTCAGCAGCTGCGTCCAAAAGGGGAAGGGGAGAAACGCACTCTGTGTCAGTGTACCATTGTCCGATTGCGCGTTGAAGTATATTTCCACCGTTTGGACCCAGCCGCCTGGCCGAAGCACGCGATGAATGTCACGCAGATAATCCCTCCATCGATTCGAATGAATCCCTCCGGCCATCATCTGGCTGTGGACCAGGTCGAAGTGGTTGGATGGGAAGGTGAACCTGGCTAGATGGTTAGCGATGATCCGACTGGAGAAACAACCGGCGAGTGTCTGGGTTGCCTACCTCCCATTCAGATCATCGACTTGAAGGTTCAGATTTGGCGGCGTTTGCGCTTCGTCGGGCCAGATGTGCGGGCAAATGTCGATGCCCACCACCTATTGCGCTGGTCAACCGTCGTTTTCGGAGCAAAGAATCAGATCCCAGAATCGCACGATTTCGATCTCAATGGCGAACGAGCTCTGGGATGCAGATGGCGGTGAAGACTCCAAAGGCGGGAGCAGACGGTTTGGCACCAACGCGGAAAAGGAGTCTCCGCTTAGGGGCATGATGGTAAAGCCCAACGAAGACGCTGAAGCTCTCCGTCCACCCGCCCCGAGCCATCTTGCGCATCGCCAGACGTCTACCAGAGTCAAGTGAATGTGTGGCAAAGGCCTTTGCACGCGCGTGCATTACGTACCTCGCAGCTCGGGTGTTGCTGTGCAACTTCGATTGCCCAGTCGCCGGTACCGAACCCGCATTCGAGTATTCGGCGGGGTCTCGTTATGGGCGGAAAGATGAGCGAGTTTTCAAAAACTATCGAGAAGAGATAGTGCATCATTTGCAAACGCTCGATTTCGTCCTACAGGTCGGGAGAAGAGACTAAGCAACGCGATTAGGGATTTCAGGGGCTCCATGGGCCATCTTTACCTCGTCTATGGGCGCGAAGTAGGCACCGTTGTCGACGGCATATCTTTGGAACTCTCTTCCCAAGTATGTGATAGTCTCGAGAAAAGTGTTGTCCAACGGGACCGTTTGCGGATCGCTGGGAAGAGTTTAGCGGGCGCTTTCGCCTTTTGGCGAAGAGGTGCAACCGTACTTGGCCATGATGGCAGACGGAAGATGGGGTCGACGGCCCTATGTCTTCGCTCTGTGAAGCTTCAGAAGGGTCTCCGTCTCGACGTGGAATCTTCAAAACGATCTCTCGGGATGAAGTCGAGATCGTGACCAGAGCGTGTTGTGGTCCAACCAAATGTTCGTTTAAGTTCAGAGACGGGACGGAAGACAAGGACCAGACTTCAAGCACATCCTACTCGAGAACCCTGAAGGATCTTTGACAACCATATCGGAAGCACAGGGGCCTTCACGAAGGCGGCAGCCGTGTCTAATAGACATAAAATGGACAGCCCGCTGCGCTGGAGGTGGAGACATGGGCCGGTCAGACTTCAGATTGGACTGGCATTTGTTCTACACCCCACGATGTTGCTGTCGATCCTGGGTTAGCACACACACTACCTACAACCAAAGAAGGCCTGTTTCGGCGGTCTTTGGTTCGTGGTGCAGACGAGGCACACTTCAGGTGACATGGATATGTCTTCTGGTGTTATTGCTGGCCCCGGACCCCCCCTGTACGTACGAAAATTCGATAATGGAGCCGGCAGACAACCAAGACGTGCTAATCCTAGGCCCTCGAGTGGCATAGGGCGGGTGTGGCAGCGGGTCCAACCATCCTGGACACCGCTTTTACCAGCTGCCAGATCCATGGATTCCGTTAACCGCGGTGGCTTTCACACGCTGTTCCGGCTTCCAGGTAGACGGTTGCTTTTTGGACGACCTGGTCATCGTCTAGCGGGACACGCCATCACATACCAACTTCTCACAGGGCGGCGGCAGGGCTGCAAAAAGGCCACTCATGCTACCTACTAATTACCCGAGGCCTTGCCCATCACCGGGCTGCCGTGGCCCAACTTGCTGTTTACGTTGGGAGTCATATACAAGCGTCGGGGTCGGACGAATAAACCGATCCCCCTCATCCTGTATGCTGTATGTACGGTCGACGCATCCACACCCAGGACAACGCCCAGTGGTGGACGCCGTTCCTGAGACCAACCGCAGACCCGGAGGACAGGGCCCAGCACACACACACACCCTCTCGCTACAACCCTCCAGCGCCCAGGGAATGGGAAGCTCTTCAGCAAACACGACGTGCCATCCCTTGTTTCCTGGCTATTCCCCTTCCGCCCCCCTCCTCCCTCGACCACGGGTGGGAACGTTGCTCAAAGGAGGGGTTGCATGGCCGATCTGCACCCATTGCACGCGGAGCTATAATCGAGTCCGAGGACTCTCATGTCCCAAGGATCCGGTCGTTGGCTTATGTCTAGACGGCGAAGGAGCGAAGCAAGGTGGGAAGCCAACTTGGACCAGAGGGGCATCGAACAACACCCGATAGGACCGCGAGTCACACGAAAGGGGTGATCTACCGCGCCGCGACGGCCTCTCGTGCCAGACGGTTGGTCCTCGTCGCAACGGCTTCCCGAGAACGTGGACTTGGGATCTTGTCCGTCAGCTTCGCGGTAGCTCGTCGGCCGTTCCTGTCGTGGCCGCGAGACGCGGTGAGGGGAAAGGTCCCGGAGCCATACGGGCAGGACGGACAACTACAGACTTGCAGAAACGGTTCCCCATTGCCTCGTACGACAAGCAGGCTGAGTGCCCTCTGAGTCGGTCGCTTGTCTTGTTTGGCATAAAGCAGGCTGGGACCATATGCGGCCGACAAACCTCAAGGGCGGAGTCAATGGTCTGATCCTCTCACACTCGCGCAGACAATCATCTGCACTCAAGCTAGCGCAGTGAGACCCGTACCAAGGCTGTATCTCACAGCACAGCAGACGGGAGGGGGAGAGACGAACAACGCAGCGCAACGAAGCCATCGATCGTCACTGTACTGAGTACAGACATGCCTGTCGTTGTTGCAACTGGAGACCTGCACCACACCATCCCGAGGCTCTCTTTTGGGAGGGCTTCGGTCGGATGGCGGCACAATATGCACAAGACAGGCAAAGCTCTGCAAAATATAGGTAGGGGCATGTATGTGTCTTTGGCCTGTGGGTTGCGTCGACGGTCGCTGCATTTTGACACGTTGGCGTATTCGGGTGCGTGCGTGCTGATGGCTTTAATTACCTCACACTCCCTTTGCTTTCTACGCGGTGGACGTCCTTCTGCTGACCCTATCCCATCCTGGCAAGAGTTGCTTATAAGGCCGGGGGTATGGCTTTGGAGATGCCTAGGTGCAGCAAGTTCGCGCCAACAACGCTTCTCGTGCGGAGTTGGTTTGATGAAGGTTGGAAGAAGAAATTGGGCGACCCAGTTCAGTCGCGAACCCTCGGCGGGCCGCTCTGCAGGCTCAAAAACTAAGAGAGAGGAAGTGCTGTAGCCACCAACCCGGAAGTACCTATCGACCAGGTTGTCGCTGGCTCGGGTGGTGGAGCTTCGGGAGAGAGCGCGCGATGACGCGAGCCACAAAACTCTCCTGGTTCCAGCTATTTGGGAACAGAGCAGCGACTGTCGACAACCCTTCCTTGTCGAAGAGACCGCGCCCTGGTGCTTGGGAACACCATGCCTGTCCACGCCAGCCACGTACGCCCTGCACCCTGACCTCCCCTTGCACCAACGGACTCAAAATCTGCTGTACGGATACATGTATGGGTAAAAAGACGAGAGACACCATGAGACGACGGCCGTTCGCCGTTGAGTTTGGCATCCAGCCATGCCACATGGAGGGCGCGCCACCCCGACCTGCAATCTTTTGACGTCAGAACAAGAGGCACGGAGCTGTTGGCCGTACCTCGCACCACACACACGCACGTCCATGCCGGTCACGGTCTCACAATGCTGCACGCCAACCCTTCCTCGGGGACGACGGTATCGTCGCCAACGGGAGGGTACGGGTTGGCCGGATGCTCCCTTGAGAGTGGCCAATGAGCCAGCTGGGGTTGCTCACGGCAATCCCTAACACGAGCCGCAAAAGGAATTACTCACGAGTGGTGATCGATGCATGATTGGACGCCTTCAAAAACGGTGATTGTCAATGTTGACGCAGGTGTATCATCAGATATGAATCGACCGGCCAGCCAGCCAGCCACGGAGAAGGATCCGGAACAGGGGCCGCAACCAATCTACCTCAGCATTCACAGGACACAGAGTCACTTTCCCTGCCAGGTGCCGTGCGGTTTCTGTCCTTCCAACGACGACGGCTCAGGACAATCCTTCGTGCCAGGAAGCGAGGCAAGATGCTAGCTCGTCAGAGATGCTGCACGTCAGAGGGGAGCATTCGACCCAGTTCCTTACAGCGTGCTACTGTGTGTAATGCGCTTCCTACGCCTCTTTTCCCTCTTGCCGGACCTTAGACGAGCCTCCGAGCTTTGCGACTTGTGGCCGTTTGTCATGTCGGCGTCTGCACGGTGCGGACCATGCGCCTGGCTATTACAGACAGTCTGTTTACCCGATATGAGAGAAATTGGGTCAGCTCCTCTCTCTTCCAACGGCTTTTCTTATCCCATGCAGAGAGGGGAAGGAGATGAGTTGGCGGTCGATGAGCAGTCACATTCAGCTCCGCCAACAGGGAACCCTAGTCGGAACGAACCCTGCTGGTTCCTCCCTCTTCATTTTCCTCTCAAACAGAACCGTCCCCTCGGGTTCCCCTACGACGGGAGGCTGGGGCACCATCTCTCTCCCTATCTCCCTTTGTTGATGCCATCCGTCCCCTGAAATGGCCCCCCCTATCGCGACGGACGACAGTCAACCATGACGGTGCAGATAGCAACGTACAGCGGTATCATGCAAAACCCACCACAATTCCAAAGATACCCGGCCAGCGCCCCTTATTGTTGGAGGAGCTGCTGCGGAGTTGCCTGCCGCAGCATGCCCACTAATTGCCCTAACCCATTTCCCAGGACCGGGTTTTGGCGTTTCACAAGGCACGGAGAATACTTCTAGAAGGCCATGCACTTGCGAGATGGAGAGGGCGGCGCCGGTCCTACGAGCCGAAAGTCCCAAATGAAAGCGCACCCAGCAGCAGGATGAACAGCCATTATTACCTACACAGGCACACGGCTTTACTGCGGTCATGGCCGGCCAAGTGGGCTTTTCCTCTTTTATCCCGTTTTCGATCTACCGACGATACGGAATTTGGTTGTAATACCGACGCCCACCCTCCTATAATATCGCTGATGCGTGCACAGATCGCAGACAGACATATGCCAGTTCTCTTTTGGACGAGCGCGGACGCGCCGCGTTGTTGTCAAATTGACAATACCCGTCCGTCGCCAATTCCCAACGGGTCATGACGCTGTCTACCAAGCACGCGAAGGCCGGCATAGCGGCGGCCACCCGGGACCATTGGCTCAGCCGTCTTGTGCGACTTGAGCGGTCACGTCTTTCCCACCGAACTGATCCCGAAGATGACGCACCTGGTTTTCATTTGCCAGCAGCTCCCGGTGTGGTGGTGACAACCTGTGGAAGGGGGCCTTTCTCATGCTGTGTCTATGGTACTTTGGAACTATGCATTACACGTACAATATCCGTAGTTTGGTTGTGGTCGGCGACCACCAAGCCCCCCTCTCCCCCTGGGGGTCCGGACGAGCAGGACCAACAAGGCTGCGGTGTTGGTAAATCCTTGCCCGATTGACGCAAAGGGGCGGAGGACTTTTCTCGAGCCGCCGAAAGAGGCTCTTTGCATGTACGCCTTTCCAACCCTTCTCGAAAAGAAGAAAATAACAAATAACCCATGTCTTCAATGCTCCTGTCTCTCTCGGTCTCTCCTCCGCCCAGAACCCCTTTTCTTTGCTTTTCTTTTTGTCTCTCTCTCTCTCTCTCTCCTTCCACCCCTCGTCACAATTACCCCTCCGCGGGCCCTTGCCTTGTTTCTTACCCGGGGTTCTCTCTGAGTTGTCCTTCTTTCTTCTGACAAGCCTATCTTCCGCATATCATGCATATCGTGTGTGTCTCTTCCTTAGACGCCCATCGTCTCTCTCGCTCTCTCCTACCCCGTCTCGGTCTCTGCCAAGTAGACCGGCCCGTACGACGGATTCATACGAGGTCCTGAACCGCAC